GTCAACAGTGTTGGTGTCTAGCTGTATAGACACTAATGCATTTATTGTAATCTGTGCTTAGTGTGTCACTCTAGTGCTCCCCATCTGTAGCACACTTTCCCTCCCTCAATCCCTTGATCCTTTTATAGGCTACTGAGAATACAGCTGCTCTCTGTCCTTGAACCTTCTCTACAAACAGGTTGGCAAAGGTAACTGTAAACAAATGCATTGCCACTGCATGCAGACACTTTGCTGAACTGAACTTAAGTAATCTTCATGTACACTGTTTATAATGTACATGCTTGTTTGTTGCAATTATAACACCAGAGCATTTGCCCTCAGGTGACCCCTAATCTATTTTCAAGTTGGAAGACAAATTAAGCAGACAGATCAAGCATTTCCTCATGTAGGCTACTGATATGTGATTAGCTCTTCCTGGACAACATCCTGTGTCTGTAGCTGTAAAGCGAAAAAAATAAATAAAGGGCTGAACAACAAAATATACAAAAAATATTTGACAGCTGAATGACCATGATCTTAATTAGTCTTAATTCATTGAAAATCTCGGTACATTATACACAGTAATGCAAAACTGGAATATGCCAGATATGCATCAATAAGTCAAAGGCTACAGTGTTTTGGAGGGTTTTTACTGCTGACGTGTGATTGTAAACAGCACTACTGTATTGCATATGTTAGGCAGTTATTTTATTCAACACTCAATCACTTAAGACTTTATTCGATCATTTCAGTGTAGAACTGTGCACAGACTCTGACTCTTTTTGCTGTTGAAGAGCAGCAACAAAAACTATTTAAAAATGACCTAGATAATTGTGAGAGCTAGAAACAGAGTTTAGTAAAAGACAACTTTTTTTTTCCTTAAAAAGAATAAAACATCCTGTCTTTGGTTGCGCCACTCTGAATATTCATGCAAGGAGAATTCAGGCTGCCTCACGTAAATTTTTAAAATTGGTTCAATATGCAGGCGACACACAAATGCATTTAAAAATGTATTTGCTCAGTCAGAAGAATGGTGATAGGCCTTTACACTTAAGAGTTTCAAAAGGTACGTTAGTTGGTGGTGCGCCTCTGTTTCTCACATGCTGGTTGACACTTTTTCCACTTAGATACAGGGTAACAGTTCTAACTGCATTGTGTTATTATACACACCCTCTGAAAAAAACCTTCCTGTTACAGCATAAGCAAAAATAAGGGAAGCAGAAAATCTGAACAAAAAATAAGAAAAAGAATGTCAATGCAGAGGGGGTTTTCTGTACCTGAACACATCTAGTCCCCATCCTGCCATAGCAGTGAAGAGCCGAGGTCCCAAGTCTCTGGCAGGGTTGATGGGATAGCCGCAGTTCAGCGCCATGGACACTCCGATAGCCAGGATGCTCAGACCAATAACCAGTGGCTCCATTCCTTTAGGGGCCCCAATATTCTTCTTATCTACGATGGCTAAAATACAGAGGACCAGGGCACCTGTGCCAATCACCTGTAAATAGAGACTAATGATCGGCAAAAATTTTTCCTTAAAGTAAGAAGAGTAGTAAGAAATAAAATTGTGAGAGAAATTAAAAAAAGAATAAGATTTTTTAGTTATAATTCTAACTAGCTAGTTATTTTTATTCTTGAGATGGAAATGGGCTTTCAAAGTTCTCCACCAGAGATTTATGCCAGGCTATTTTAGCACAGGCTTTAAAGGGGACATCGGATGAAAAAAAAATTCACTTTTGGGAATTGTCAATGTTTTTATATAAATGGTGTCTTAGCAATGTGTGGACACAACCACCCTACAACGATGATAATCCATTCACTTCTTTTTTTTTTAATCCCCAAAAAACCTAAACAGTCTCAATTATCAAGCGTTTTTGATTTTCTGAGCAATACTGAGCATATTGCTCAGGCTGCACCCATGGAGGAAAGGCTTCACGCTGAATAAACAGCTTTTGTGAGGAAACGGCTTATCATTCAGTGAATCGACAGCCTATCGCAGGGATCCTCAAATCTGGCAACGAGATCCACTTTCCTGCAGAGTTTAGCTCTAACCCTAATCAAACACACCTGAGCATGCTAATCAGTGTCTTCAGGATCATAAGAAAATCACAGGTAGGTGAGTTTGATCAGGGTTGGAGCTAAACTCTGCAGCGCATTGGCCCTCCAGGGCAAGATTTGAGGAACCCTGGCCTAATATTCAACTTCTTTGCCATTAAACAAAATAGTTTTGGATTAAACTATTTTTAGAGTTTAAACCGGAAAAAAATTCAATTTTTTAAGAAAAGTCACTGACTTTTTGCGACAGGTGGGCACTTACGGCACTTCTCATTAATATCTATAGTATCCGTAAATGGCGACTGAGTGTCGCACAACTCTGACTAAAATTCAATGATGTCAAGGCTGTAATGTGATTGGTTATCAAGGCACACGTGATCCAAGTTGACCATTACGCTTTCTCCAATGGTAAGTAATACAAACCCTCTCATCTCCCAATAATAAGACAATCTCTGGGGTTGAAACAAGATGGCGACCAAAGCAGTGTGTTGAAACAGTCTGTAGGGTTTTGCTTCTATCCTCTTTGAAACATCAGTTAAATCTTTTAAGAAAGCAATCTTGAAACAATTTTGTAATACCGTCAAAGAACTTTTCATCTCATTCTTTAAGAAGCACTAAAGCTAAGCTGGTGATTTAGATAGCCGTAACCGCCTGGCTCAACAAGCCAACTAATGAAGAGCGCCAAAGACAAATGAAAGAAAGCAATATTAGACAACGTCTGCTTATCTGCTCCCACAGACTCACCTACAACTGATTCGTCTTTGTTACGGGGCTGACAAGACTTGAGACGTGCGGATCCATGTGCAAGCTATTTATTCGCAGAAGACAGAGACGTGGTCATAGAACAGGCATGGGTTGGAGAATGGCAGACAGGGATAAGGCGGGCAAGACACAAGAATAATCCTAAGGCTAGCGGAGGTCAACGATCGGCAAACAGAATCAAA